TTGTTGATGTAATTACCGGTCAACACGTAATTTGTCCACGGAGCCGCTAAGAACTCTCCGCAAATATCAAAGGTTGCGAAGTGGGGTGTGGAGTAATCATTGTTCATTACAGCTGGGATAAGTTATCTACGCACTTTTCACACTGACCTCGATACTGCACTGTGAACTCGCATAAGCAATAGGCTACAGTCAAGAAGGACATATTATCATGGGCTAAGAGCAAGAAATATCCATGCTTATTTTGGTTAAAATGAAAAAAAAAAAAAATCCACAAAACCCACAAGCACAACAACAATTAAAAATAAATTTTAAAAAAGGACCCCCCCCCGAAAACAAATCAAATAGAGACATTTAAACGATATTGCATCATGACAGTAAATATTAAACCAACCCACCCAGTAGTCATGACGCAATCGCAATTCCCTATGTGTCCAAGAATCGCCTATTAAAACTTTTCCTTTAAAAAACACGCAAAACCCCCCAAAACAAAACAAAAAACAAACAAACGAACGAAAAACAACCCAAGAACAACAACAACAACAACAAAAACAACAACAAAAAAACAACAACCCCAAGCTACCACCACCAAAAGTCCCACCATTTTCTCAAAACAATGAATGTGGACAACGTCAACTCTAACCATCAGCCCAAGATAAGGTAAATGATCGTGTGAGGGAAGCGGATGATTAATTTGTTTGTATTGACCTATTCTTCCAAAGTCAGGCTTACTTAAAGACAAAGACGTCACAAAAAACTATTTCTGCGATTCATTTTTAAGCTTAAAAAAAAATTAAGAAACAATCTACGATGTATTATAATAAGTAAAAAAATCGAATTAAGAAGGTAATTAATTACATGTAGTTATAACACTTGCCCAGTAATGTTAACAATTTTTTCCAGAATCCTTGGCATATATTTCGTACAATAGTGGACTTTTTGGTCGATTTTCCATTAAAAAAACAGAACAAATAAAACCACAAATAAAAAACAAATAAACTAACAAATAAAAACAAAACCAATTTCGTTATTTCTCTGCTGTAAAAGCTTTGTACCATAAGCATTCGAATATTTGATTGTTTGTAAATGATGGATAAAGAGAGAAAGGATAAAAAGAGACAATATTAATTAGAGAATGGCTGGTAAATGGTATGTCTGTCTCAAAGCAATGTGGTAGTCCTTTAAGTGGCAATCTTTTCCTCAGTGGATGAATCCTTTGTATTGGAGGTATCCTAGCAACGACAAACACAACACAGCAAAACACGCACGCACACATACACACACAAATACATACACAAAACACACGCTCACACAAACACACACACACAAACACACACACACACTAAAACACACTCACACACTCACACACACACACACACAAATACACAAAACACACGCTCACACGCACACACACACACACACACACACACACACACACACACACACACACACACACACACACACACACACACTGCTGGTGTTATTCTCCAATTGTGTGAGTCCATCAAATTGGAATTTTCAGGGGCGATAAACAAAAACGTAATGTTTAAAAAAACCGCCCGTATTCTGCTCATAGATTTGCTTTCTCATATCCTAGACTGATCATTCTGACGCAATTCCCGTTCACTATAGAGCACACTATTTGAGTCTTGACCATAGCGTACTTTACTACGTAAGTAGAGAACGTCATGATTTTGAAAAACCAAAATGAAAAGCAAGTTTGTTTGTCTTAGTAGATGCTTTTACACGCTCGCAACTGCATAAGGTCATAATATGAGCGCCAGAAGATTATATGTGTTACAAGAGAGTGACAAACATAAAAAAAGAATGAGGGGAGATAAGGACGATAGATGTTTAACAGGAAAGAAATGGGGTTGCAGCCAGTGACTGACTTTAACAAATTTGATTAATTTCAAACAACTACCATTTTCTTAAAAATTGACTGAGAGGTTAAAGAATGGTACCAAAATGCTTAGTGGATATAAGCCTTTCAA